AGTAGAGACAAGGTTTTGTCATGTTGGCCAGTCTGGTCTCAAACTCCTAACCTCAGGTGATACACCTGCCTCAGCCTCCCAAAATGCTGGGATTACAAATGTGAGCCACCACACCTGGCTGGCTATATCTAATTTTAAGAGACAAGAAAAAGCATTATCTTCTTGCATACTTAAAAGTAGAAAGGAACCACATATCGTTGAATGGAGATAAATGTCTATTGCATAGGCATCATTTTCTAGGATTTCTCAATCTTGCAAATTTAACAACAAAATATTGTGATACATTGTATTAATGATCAAGATATTTGCTGCCCTTCAAGTTGAAAGAGTACTGATCCTATCTCACTGGTATTTACTAGGTGTCAGGCTTGGCATTAGAAGGGCCCTTCCTTGTGGGGACTGTGTGCATCCCGGATGCTTCAATGTCAGATATGAGCACTTCTTGCTTTGCTTTATAAAGCCTGAGGGGAAGTGAAGTGTGACATTTCCTGGCAGGAGCTTTAAGAACCAGTAGATGCTATACTTTGACTCCCTTCCTCTCTACTACAAGACTGGAATGTGCCTGATAGCAATGGCTTCATTAGCCTGGGCCCCACAGTGAGGGTGATGTGAAGCAAAGCTGCAGCCAGCTTGGGCTGGGCATGCGGTAGGAACAGGAAATGTTTTGTTGTTATAAGCCACTGAGATTTTCAGGTTGTTTGTTATTGCAGTGTAATTTAGACAAAGCTGACTAATATACATACCATCCTTACTGCATCTGTAAGAATAGTTACAACAATAACCATAAAGGAGTGAGAATGGAAAAACACAGTCACATGCTGCATGTTTCAGTTAACGACGGACTGCACATACGATGATGGCCCCATAGATTATAATGCAACACTTCATTTTTACTCTTCCTTTTCCACGTTTAGATACATTTAGATAAGCAAACACCACTGTATTACAGTGGCCTACAGGGTTCCATACAGTAACATGCTATGCAGGTTTGCAGCCTAGGAGCAATAGGCTATACCATACAACCTAGGTGTTAGTTAGCAGGCTCTCTCACCTAGGTTTATGTAAGGACACAATGACATTTTTCACAATGACAAAATCACCTAATGCTGCATTTCTCGGAACGTATCCCCATCGGTAAGCAATGTATGACTGTATTCTTCCTGTAAGAGCAATAAAAGTACAGACTGCTTAAGGCTAAATTGGACAAGATAGGTTTAAGATATATGAAGAAAATTACAAAATGTTACTGAAAGATATAAAGCATGTAAATTCTCCAAAAATTAATGTAGAAATTTCATATAATTCTAATCATAATTGCAATGGTTTCTTTTTAATTTGATAAGGGCATTTTAAAGTTCATGTGGGACAGAATTTACCCACAGTGATGCTGCCAGGATTAAATGAGGTAGAGCATGTAAAGCACCTAGGACAGTATTTGACACCTGTAGTATATGCACTGAGACGTGTTAGCTAGTGTTACTTAGAAAAATAAATAGATGTTTAGAATGGGGAGTACCAAAATGTATCTTAATATACATGCGGTTTTAATATAGCCATCCAGAGGAAAATAAAATTAGACCCCTATTTAATCCATATCCAAAGTTAAATCTGATATGGATTAAAAATGAAAATGTAAAAAATCAATAAATATTTTAGAATAAAATTTAAGAGAATGAATTTATACGCTACAGGTAGGGAAACATTCTCAACCAAAATAGTAAACCAGGGAGTTGCAAAGGAAAAGATAATGTTTTAAACATGTGTATATCAAAGATACCACAAAGAAAAGAATAATGTTATTATATAGTAGACTTCAAGAAATATCTGGTATGTATAAAAAAAGATTAATATCTATAGTATAAAACGAGTGACCAAAAATTTACAGGAAAAAGAAAAAAAATTCCATAGAAAAATGAATAAGGAATGTGTGAATAGGCATTTTCAGAAAAGCAAATCTAAACAGTAAACATGAAAAAGTGCATGATTTTAATAGTAATCAGAGAGATGCAAACTAAAGTACCCTGAGTTATCACTTCTTACCCAGCAGATCCACAAAAGTTAAATTTCTGTTGACAGAAGTATGAATTTAAACCACTTGGAATACATTTACCATTTGGGGAAGACGTTTGAAAACAACCGTTTAATAAATATAGTGGTCAAGGAGGAACTTACTTGGGATTGCAAAGCACCAAATATAACTGCAGTTTTGAAAGTTCAGCTTTTCATGCAATGGATTCTGACTAAGGCTGCTCACTCTATCTCCTACAGTGTATGTTCCTCTTGGCTCCAAACTCAGAATTTTGCAACTATTTTTGGTCACTGGACAGCGTTTTTTTACTTCATGACCACTGTAACTCTTGACCACATGGAAGCTCCTAATGACACCGCCTGGCACACCCTACCCATGCAAGTTCTGGCACCCTTGGTTGAACTCTGGCTAACTAGATCTTTTTGGATTTGTGACTTGTATGACTGTCTACGCCTGATTCTGATTCTTTGCCTAGTTTCTCAGCTCCTGATTTATCCACTTATTCATACTCCTTCCCCACTCCCTGTCCTTCTTGGGAATCTCTCAGCACATGGATAACTACCGTAGGAAATAAATTAGCCCAAGTGTTAGTTGTGTCCTGGAGCTAATTTCACCCAGTTCCCACCACCACACTTTTCAAACAGAGAAGCATAGTTTGATGAGCCCATTTACTCTGGAGATGGGGAGAATCACCTCAAAAACAGGTAAGAGTGGAGGCAGGCAGGCTGCTAGCTGAAAGGCTATTAAGATGTTCTTAATGAAAGGTGATAGCTCCAGAAAGATGGTGAATGGAGTTTACAGTCTAATGAGGAGAAGCACATGTGAAAACAAGAGGTACAACAGTGTGTTGGTGAGATACAATTACTCATATGCATGCATAAGCAATGAGGCACAGAGTCTATTTTCCCCAGGTAGGGAAAGCAGGGCAGTGGAGAAGGTCAGGAAAGGTTTTGCAGAGGAAGTGATGCTTGACCTCACACGGTTTGATAGAGCATTCCAAAAAGAGGGGGGAGCAGGAAGAAATGTATAGGGGCATGAAATCAACATTAACAGGGAATTCCAAGTACTTTAATATGTCTGGAGTAAAGAATTTCAGAGTGGGGTTGGCAGATCACAGAAAGCCTGTTTTTCATTCTGAAGAGTCATAAATTAATTCTGTAGGGCAGACAAAGAGGAACTATTGAAGGGCTTTAAGGAGGAAAGCAATTGATTTGAATTTTAGAAGACAAACAACTTTGGCAGCATGTGGAGGATGGTTTGGAATAGGCAAGGACCTCGGCTTGTGGCTTAGGTGTCAGGTAATTAATTCTGTTATCCATGATACTCCTTTTCAACCAGGCAAGTTCATCAAGGAATTTTAGAAACCATACCTTTCTTTCTCACTCATGTAAAAACACCAAACTAGAATGATAAACAAACAAGGTCTTTTTTTTTCTAAACTCTATTGTATGAACTTAGTTGGACACTCTCTTTTAATAAATGGAGTGAGGCTGAATAGCTTTTGGCATTCATCCCAGATACTGAAACAGTGAGAAAACAACAAAACATAGAACATGATATCTATCCATAACTCCAATTGTATGGTTGGGGTTATTGGAGAATTGTAAGAGTTATGATTTCCCTGGCAAAGTATCAAAAAAACATACCTTCACAAATTATTCCAAACAGAGATCTGGCATCTGATCATGCTGACATAATGAAAAATGTTGAACAAATTGCCTACGTGTAATTTCTCATTCCTGAAGAACTAAAGGAAGGATGTTTTCTAAGGCTCCACAATGACGGTTTTTATGAAATAATAACACGGTCATAAGAAAGCCAAAAGAAATTTTCCCAGCTCACTTAGAAAATGAAATCAATCTATTTTTTTCTAAAGATAAATGATATATTCTGTCACACAGAAGAATGTTCAAGAGGATATCCACCAACACATTCACACTGGTTATCTCTGGGTGACGCGTTCAAGTGTTCCCTATTTTATTCTTGTTGCCTTTGGTGTTGTCTTTCTACGGTGAACATGCATTGCTTCTGGAAGGAAAAACAAGAAAGTCAAATATAGCAACCATACAATCAGAATGTGGCAGGCCATCTTTTTCAGCTCTCTGATTCGGCATCAACTTTCTAAGTCTGACTAAGATTAACGTGAACTGCCTTTGAGGTAACCTTCTAGTGTGTTTTGAGTACGTATAAGCTAAATTCCTCTCCTCAACTATTTATCTTCAGGGAATAAATCATTGAATTTTCAAAATATGAATATTTCCACTCTTCATTATTTATGCCAATGGAGGGGAATACTGACACTAGTATCCAAAACATCAGAGAATTGAAACAATCATGTATACATGTATATTACATTATTCTTTGTGAGGCTCTGCACATGATACTTTTGGCAGATATGCTTTCTGAATTACATTTTTATTTGGCTAATATTAAAATTACTCCATGCTCCCACATATGGGCTGGCAAATGATGGGAGGAGGCTATGGTAAGAGAAATAGGTGTAGAATTTAAAATTCATTGTATATAATCTATGAGCTGTACGCTGGGCAGGCAAATGTATAAAGACTATGGTGAAAATACAAACCAATTTTAAGCACAGACAGACCTAAAACAGGGCTACAAAAGCCTGAAAAACGGAATGTAACTTGTGCCATGTCTGATGCAATGCAGATGTAAAGTAGTAAAATAAAACTCCTGGATTCTAAATAGTCTACTCTAGTACTTATTCTCAAAACCCAGCTTTTTATAATCAGAAGACACTCTTTTAAGAGCAGCTGCATCTGAAATCATAGCCAGCAAAATACTTCAGAAGAAATATGAAACACTCATCTCTTCGGGTTAAGGAAGAGGGCCTGTCAGATGGACCTGATATCTCTCCATCTAACACATAGCAAGGGGCTTGCAAACAAGATTTGTAAATATGACTTACTGTAAACTATGCACATTGAACCTTTCCCAACACTGTAAGAATTTAGATCATTTAAAGAAGATTTGGATATATTATTCATAACTTAAAGATTCTTTTCAGGCCCTCAAAAACCTAGTAACTTTCTTATTGGTTAAGATTTGTATAATACCACTCACTGCACATGAACTACTCCCCCACCCCAGCCTTGTAGGGAAGCATATTTTTTTTTTTTGAGACTGCTCTGTTGAAGCAGTCTGTTGCTCTGCTGCCCAGGCTGGAGTATACTGGCATGATCTTGGCTCACTGCAACCTCTGCCACCCAGGTTCAAGTGATTCTCCTGCCCCAGCCTCTGTAGAAGCTGAGATTACAGGCATGCACCACCATGCCTGGCTAATTTTATATTTTTAGTAGAGATTGAGTTTCACCATGTTGGCCAAGCTGGTCTCAAACTCTTGACCTCAGGTGATCTGCCTGTCTCAGCCTCCCGAAGTGCTGGGATTACAGGCATGAGCCACTGTGCCCAGCCTGGGAAGCATAATTTCTGAACTTACACAACCACACAACATTCTGATCATCAGCTATCTTGGAGAGAGTAAGTTTTCCACACTTTTTACACCAATTATTTTCCCCTCCCATCTGTTTCTGACAATGGAGTTCTCAGGCTTCTCCTATCCTAAACTCCATCATCACCACCAGTCCCTGGTCCCGGTTCTTCTTCAAATCCTGATTCTGCTTTCAAAGGTCAAAAGAACCCATTCAGATGAGAAGAATCGTCCTCAGACTGGGAGGATAAAAGACCCAAGCAAGCCTGGACAGAACTGGGAGCTAGCAAGAGGAGGTAAAGGCTGGGCACATTCATGCATTAATACTTTTCATGTGATCACACACACATCTGTGGTTCTTGGTATTAGTGGATGCTGGAATTGTGGACTTTGTGGTAGAATGCCAATTGTTCAATCTAGCCTTGGAGGAAAGGAGATAGGTTTAGTTGGAACTAGGCAAGGAGTCAGGGCCTGGGCTTACATTGCTGACCGGCTCCAGGCCTCAGATGCTTCTGGAAACAATTCCAAATACATTCTCTTGGGTCATCAATTTCCTAACCAAGTTAGTCATTCTTGCCTATGAAGCCCAACTGTTCATCTTTTCATTCCCATACTCTTTGTTCAATAAACATTTATTGTTTTCTATTATTTCCATACAGTAATGTTAAGACATAGCCCCTGACTTCAGGAGTTTATGGGAGCAAAGAAACAGACATGCAAATAGTGCAACCAAGGGTTAAATATTATGTTGAAGTAGGTATAAGCTTCTTAAGTTTCATCTGACATCTCCACTCCATGAACTCCCCTGCTCCTGTTATCACCCAGCCCCTGAACACACTACACTCACTTCTGTCTTCCTCTTCACTAACCCCTCCCACTATGCCCCTTGGAACTTGTATTTTTTTCCTTTGCCACGGTTATCTGTTCACTTCTTAGCCCACAGTGAAACCTATCTTTCCTATAAATAACACCTTCCTTAAAAGTTTGTCCAGCGATGCCTACTTTTCCTGTCACTCTCCCTGGCTCTCTGGGCAAGGACAGTGTCAACAAAGCCTCCTGTTGCCCACTACTTTGCTCAACCGTCTACATCACCACTCACTACATCTTCACTGAAGTGGATGCCAACTGCTTTCCACTACCCTTTCTCAACTTTTGCAGGCATGAGGATTCAACCCAACCCATAGGAACTTTTCAACTCAGCATGCTTTAACATTTCTTCCAACCAACCTCAGCTCTTGCCTGGCAGTATTCATTCACCTGCTTCTCACCTGTTTCACAGAAGGGAGTTTCTGTGTTCAAAAACAACGCATTCAACAAATATTTGTGCCAGGGAGTAGGCATTCAACGGTAGACAAATCATAGTCCCCACCCTCAAGGAGCTTGAAGTCCAGAGAAGTAAGCAAGTAAAAGGGCTGTCAATAGAAAGAGATGTTAGGGGCCGGGCGCGGTGGCTCACGCCTGTAATCCCAGCACTTTGGGAGGCCGAGGCGGGTGGATCACGAGGTCAAGAGATCGAGGCCATCCTGGTCAACATGGTGAAACTCCGTCTCTACTAAAAATACAAAAAATCAGCTGGGCATGGTGGCACGTGCCTGTAATCCCAGCTACTCAGGAGGCTGAGGCAGGAGAATTGCCTGAACCCAGGAGGCGGAGGCTGCGGTGAGCCGAGATGGCGCCATTGCACTCCAGCCTGGGTAACAAGAGCGAAACGAAAGCAGGTGCTGTGGTTAAGGGGCATCATTGTTCTCTTTTCTTCTCCCTTCCTCTGTTTTTCTGACCCCTTGTACCATACAGTCACCTGGAATCCCTGCCCTGCTACTCTTCATGATGTCTGCTTTGTGATCCCTCTTTGCCTGGCCTAGTGCCACTCAGAATTACTGCATAAAACTGAAACTGTGTTGATCTAGCCTGTTACAAATTGAAGTTACTCATCCTCCCTTATATCCTCATGTTTCTAAGCAGTTCTTTTCATTCTTCTTGCTCATCTGCTAATATATTCTCCGTGGTGATTTGTCAACTTCCTGCTCTTAGAAAGATACTACCAGTCCCTCTCTCCCCATCATTATTAAGAGTGGTGATCAGAATTCAGTTCCTTTCCACAACACTCCTCCTCCACAGTTCAGGACTTTTACTTCACCATGTTTTCCACCTTGTCTCATTTCTTTTATATATTTTCTTTTTCTTTTCTTTTTTTTGAGATGGAGTCTTGCTGTGTTGCCCAAGCTGAAATTCAGTGGCGTGATTTTGGCTGACTGCAACCTCCACCTCCCAGGTTCAAGCGATTCTCCTGTCTCACTCGCCCCAAGTAGCTGGGATTACAGGCATGTGCCACCATGCCTGGCTACTTTTTTGTATGTTTTAGTAGAGATGGAGTTTCACCATGTTGGCCAGCCTGGTCTTGAACTCTTGACCTCAGGTGATGTGCCTGCCTCAGCCTCCCAAAGTGCTGGCATTACAGGTGTGAGCCTCTGCACCCGACCTGTCTCCAGTTTTTAACAGCTGCATCTCTGCCCTTGATTGCCCCTCACACCTGGGCATCTGAGAAGTCATTATCTCAATCATTCCTGCTTGCTGTTTCTCCTCCCTGCTGTCTTCATTCACTTTTGCCCCTTCACCAATCCTTTCTAACATCTGCCTAACCAACTTTGTTCAGTCATGCATGTGAAACAAAAACAAAACCCAACTTTCATTCAAACCGAAATCCTATTTCTATTTTTTGAAATGGACAACTTTCTGAAAGGAATGACCTATAAAATTTAGCTGCCTTCATTTTCCTACTATAAATTCCTCATTCCTAACAATCTGGTTTAGATTGTTAAATTGCTCACCAGAAGATTTTTTGCCAAACCCCACTGATTTTCCCATAATCACATCTGACATCACTGGTCATTCCCTATCTCCACATTGTATCTTCCATAGCTCCGAGACATTTTCAGACCTCTCTTCTCTATGCCTCTTCATGCCTCTTCTAGCTTCTCCAAATTTCTAGAGACACTCACTACACGTTAGATCTTAAAGCCCTTCTGAGTACCTGCCTAAAGTATGGAAGGCACTATGCTGTGGAGACAAGGCAGCTTTTAAGAGGGGTCTAACCAAGCAGGCCAGGTAATAGGGTTTGGGTGCCCAGGGCCAAGTTAGGCAAATAACAGAAAATAGCAAAGGGTATGTATAATTTCAGATCGTCAGAGGGCACTAAAATTTAAGTCAGAAGATCCAAATTCAAGATGACAAGATGAAGTACAGGAATAGCGCCCAAACAGAACACAGCCGAGGTAACAAATGTGGAAAGAGCTAGAGAGGGAGGAGGGTTTTTGCCAGATATGAATGAAGCTGAACTTGTCCTCAGTTTACCTATCTAGGTCACCAGACTGACTTAAGAGTAAAATCAAAGAAGACTACAAAAAGTAAAACAAAATAGGATGCTTGTTCTCATATATGCCTAGTGTTTTCTGTGAAATGTGCATAATGATAGTATCTGCCTCACAGGATTAATTGAAACAATATATGCAAAGAACTAAACCCTGGGCCTGACACGTAACAAATGTTAGCTATCATTATTAATATTCTATCCTCTAAGCTATTTAACATAAGGCTTAAGCAAATAGAATTAAATCATTCCAGTATCAAATCTAATTTACTTATGTATTTAGCATACTCAAAAGTACCCCGTATTAGTTAATACTGTAACAACCCATTTAAAATAGGATGTAAACTTGGGTGTAAGACTCAAAATAAGGCAATTTTCTCCTTGCTGGTCCACTAAAACAACTTACTTCACATTGATCATCAAAAGCCCATTTTCAGGGCTTTATAATCCCTTTTTCGCTACTTTTGAACTACTTTCTAACCTCTCAATACATTCTTGCCCTTTTGATTCTAAGATGGCACAGCCTTTAAAGCAGGCTCCCAGTCTACCGACTGTCTTTTGAATTCTAGTTATTTCTTAGGTTCATCCCTGCTTTTTCCTTCCTTTCAAAGCCTTTCCATTATGTGACATTACTTTAGCATACAATTAGTGGCTTAAATGGTATTCTGGTTCCTACTTTCTCCTAATCTCAGTCTATCCTTCATGCTGCTACCAGAATTTTTTTTTTTTAAATGCCAAATGTTTGTGAAACGACCTCCATTATCTCCTATTGTCTATAAGAAAAAGCCCCAAACCTCAGCATACCATACACGGCCCTTCATTTTGGCCCCAACCTGTCCCTCCAACCTCATCTTATTTTGCTCCACCTGCTCACCCAGAGCTCCACCACAGGGAAATCTCCATTACTCAAGATAACAACATGACTTTTTCACAAATCTCTTGTCTTTCCACATTCCTCTTCCGTGAATGTTGTTTTCTCTTGATCCCAGCTATTTTCTGGTTCAGCTCCTTTCTCTATCAAGCATTTATCACACGGCATTTTATTATTTTATTTTATTTTATTAGTATTATTTGAGACAGAGTCTTGCTGTGTCACCCAGGCTGAAGCGCAGCGGCACCAACTCTGCTCACTGCAACCTCTACCTCTCAGGTTCAAGCGATTCTCCCGCCTCAGTCTCCTGAGTAGGTGGGACTATAGGCATGCACCACAACGTCTAGCTAAATTTTTTTTTTTTGTTATCTTTAGTAGAGATGGGGTTTTGCCATGTTGGCCAGGCTGGTCTTGAACTCCTGACCTCAGATGATCTGCCTGCCTTGGACTCCCAAAGTGCAGGGATTACAGGCATGAGCCACTGTACCCGGCCCACACAGCATTTTAAGTATCTGTTTACATGTCTATTCCCCCAGGAAAATATAAGCATCTCAGGTACAGGTAAATGCCCTTTTCTCGTTTCCTAGCTTCAGAATCTAGTACCAAGCAAATGCTCAATACATATTCATTGAACTGTGGGCAATCAGCAAATGTTAAAATTATTTTTAAAAAAAAGATTCGCAGTTTTACAATTTCTCATTAGTTGTAATTGACTAAAAGAAAAAAGATGCAAATGAAACACTCCAACTCAAATCTCAGGATTAAACATGGCTATTTTGAAGGACCAGAAGACAACTAAAGGACCGCAGGGCAGAAAACTTACCATCCGGAACGTCGAAGTTGTATGACCATGGCAGTGGATATACAGCCTTATCATTTCCGTCTCTCAAATCCTTCGATGGCTTTTTATAGACAAAGCCTCATCCTTAATCTTGCCTACAAAGGCTGCATAAAAAACTTGTAGCTAGGTTCCATGATACATGCCTGTAGTTCCAGCTACTCTGGAGGCTGCAGCAGAATTGCTTGGGCAACATAGCTAAGCCCCATCATTATTCAAAACAAACAAAAACAACAAAAACCACTTGCTTCCATCTACTTACAACCTCATCTCACAGTACTCTGCACTTTCTGGACTTAGGCTGACCTAGGTCTTCTTTCCAATTCCGTTTTTGCACAAGCAGATCTGCCCGTAATGTTGTTTTAAATACCCTACTACCCCACACTAGTTTGCTCTTATCCTTTGGCTATCAGTCCAAAGATTCCTTAAGATGTCTCCATCCTGTGGTAGCAGACCATAAAGCCGTTTTACTACATTTTATTTAGACAACAATACAGTATAGCGTTATGACCATAGATTCTAGACTCAGGCTGGGTCCTTAGGCATATTTAACCCCTTCATGTCTTGCTTTCTTCACCTGTAAATTGTACTCGTAAGGTTATTGAAAAGATTAAAGGAGATAAAGCATGTAAGCACTTAGAACTGTGTTGATATGCAGTTCAAAGAGCCCAACATACGTCAGTCATGATCATATTTACTCAATTTGTAGTCACTATCCTTCCTTCCCTCCCTTCCAGCCCCCGGAGTACCTCTGCTCCTCTATCCCAGAGGCCACGCCAGCCTGGTCCTTTTTTGTATTCCTAGCCTAACCACAAAGTTGTGAACATAGCAGGCCTTCAATATTATGTTTTTAAAAAAATGACAAAAGCCTTGTGTCCCACTTTTGCTTTATTAGCCGAACGATCTCAAGCAAATCACTCAAATCACCTAGGCCTCGTTTATCCTTCTGTGAGATGTAATAGCTACCTCAGAGAGGTCTGTGTTAAATAAGGCGATGTACCTACAAAAGCACATTGCACATCTTAAAATGCCGTACAACCGGTAGATGTTTATTAATAAACCGGAGTCCGTGTCTTCCCTCCCCTCAGGCACGTCTCGTCCCGACCCCGCTCTCCCCGCAGCCCACACCCTTACTGCGCCCTTGGCCCGCGGTCCCTCGGGATTGCAAGCGTGGGAGCCTCGGCCCCGGGCAGCTCCCTCCGGCTTCCCGCGCCCTCCTTCCTTCCTCGCCCGGACGGACGCACTTCCGGCGGATGTGGGGGGGCAGCCCCTGGAAACGGAAGTGAGCGGCGGGGTCGACTGACGGTAACGGGGCACAGAGGCTTTTAGCAGAGCTGCCGAAGATGGTGAGTGAGTACCCGGGCGGCCAGCGTTCCACGCGGGCTCGGGATCGTGGCTCGGCAGAAACAGGCAGTCGCCTCCCAGCCCGTCCCCGGGTGGCGGCGGCGGCGACGGCGGCGACCTGGGGATGAGGCCGGCCTCGGGAGCCATAATCTGTCGAGTCACGGGGTTTGGGTGGGTCATGGCTGTCGCCGGGTCCCGGCTCCGGCACTGGTCCCACGAGCAGCGGTTCGGCTTCATCCTGCTCCTCTTAGCTCGGTTTACTCCCTTCCACCGTTTACACCCCAGCAGGCCCAGACGTCCTCCACTTACTTGGTGCAGACGTGGAAACTACAACCCCGAAAGTGCAGCGTTCTGTGGGGTGGCGCCGCCGACCCTTTCCTTGAGGCGTAACCTCTGGGAGTCCAGAGTGCCCAGACTCCTCATCTCCTCCAGTCCCCGCCCTTGTAACTGTCTGGTAACCAACCCACAACTATAGGTCGCATTTGTGTAACGCAACTTTGCTCTACAAACGTTTTTGAGAGCTTGTAGTGTGCTAGGTGTTAGAGGGGGATAAAGTCAGACCGTTGCTGTTCCCCGTTTGTCAGTATTGTTAGTACATCTCCTCTCTCCCTCTATCTTCACCCCCTCTCTTCCTCCCGCCCTCTCCTCTCTACCGCTTTCTCTTTCTCTTTCTTTTTAACTTAAAAGTTGTGATATTTGAGAAGAATCCTGAGCCACCATTGCTACAGACTCTGATACAGGTACTGTTGGTAGGCCATCCATCCAAATCTAGAAAGCTTCTGTTGGTAAATACTGCTAATCATTGCTAAAAAAAAAAAAAAAGTTTTATGGACACTCGCAAATGTTTTTGTAGATTTGCCTTTCTCGGCTACTTCCTTTATTAGAAACATTAAGTTCTGATCCTGATATTTTGCAGAAGGAAATTGGAAAAAATGAGGATAACAGAATCTAGAAGTCAGAATTCACTTTTTCCTTGTGCACTGAAACCTTCCGTCACTTTACAATAAAGCCGTCCTGAAGGAGGAGAATGTTGATATAGGGAAGTAATAGAAGATACATTTGGAAAGAACTATCACACAGCTCTACCAAAGGTCCCCAACCTTTAGTGATTCAACAGTTTTCTGACTTTATGATGGTGTGAAATCCATACATAGTCAGTAGATGCCGCACTTGAGTACCCACACAGCCATCCTGTTTCCTTCAGTACAGTATTCAATAAATTACAATAAATTCAATACTTTTTAATAAAGTAGGCTTTGTATTAGATGATTTTGCCCCACTGTAGGCTAGTGTAAGTGTTCTGAGCACGTTTAAGGTAGGCTAGACTAAGACCTGTTATTTAGTAGGTTAGGTGTGTTAAATACATTTTTGACTTTTGACATTTTCAATTAAAGATGGGTTTATTGGGAAGCAACCCCATCATAAGTCAAGGAGCATTTGTAGTCCTGGTAGGAGTTCAGCTCCTTGGTGCAGATGAGTAAACAAGGCCAGAGAGGCTGGTGCTTTGCTGCAGTCACGAAGTAGGTTAGTGACAGTCCACGCTGAAGTCCAGATTCTTTTCCTCATCCACCATGACGACTTATATGTAGGGGAGTTGGAACCTGTTATGCAGGTTCTTTAGGTCCAGGCTAAGGACTCTGAACTTTATGCTTCAGACATTGATGAACCAACAAAGATTTTATAGCAGTTTTGTTGGAGGAGTTTCATGCTTGAGGAAAACCTTGATATGCAGAACTGGAAAATGGGTGAGTCTAAGGCAGCAAGATCCAGTAGAATGCTGTGGAAGTTATCCATGCCTGAGAGGCTGGGCTAGGATGGTATAGTGAAGAAACCCTGGAAAGGATAAAATATCTGACCAAATCAAATATACAAACGAATTAAGAAATCAGTGAAAAAGCTGACTTCTCAGAATATTTTCTCCTGCAATATAAAATTTGATAGGAAACTACCTGTAGCTGTTTTACGTTTTTCTGCAGAATCACAGGGGTATTGGACTTGAGCAACGAGTAATTTAAAATTAGCATCTTAGGCCATGCACGGTGGCTTACACGTGTAATTCCAGCACTTTGGGGGCGCTGAGGCAGGAGGATCACTTGAGCACAAGAGTTTGAGACCAGCCTGGCCAGTGTAATTGAGACTTTATCTCCACAAAAAATTTTTAAAAATTAGCCAGGTGTGGTGTTGCACACCTGTGGTCCCAGCCACTCGAGAGACTGAGGTGGGAGGATTGCCTGAGCCCAGGAGGTTTAGGCTACAGTTAGCTGTGATTGCTCCACTGCATTCTAGCCGGGATGACAGAACAAGACCCTACCTGAAAAAGTAAATAAATAAATAAATAAATAAAGTTAGCATCTCGTTCTTTACTTGTTGAAACACAATGTTTTATTTGCTTGTTTAATATATTTTCATAAGATGAAGCCCTGGGAGATATACATGTATATTCAGTATCTAGCAGAGTACCTGACACGAAATAGATGGCTAATAAATATCTGGTGATTGCGCATTTCACAGTATAAACGTGTACGGTAATAATACACCAATACCAAAGGCACTGTCTTTTTTGTCGTATACTATCCTGATTAAGTATACATAGTTTTTATAGGTAGTGCCATCTTCATTTAGAAACCAAACACTTTCTGAAATTCCCTTTTTTTCCCAGCTCCTGTGACAATTATTTAGCCATCCTGTCTATTCTTATCCCATTTCTTTGTTGTTCTTCCTTGTACTCAAGGAATGGATTCCTGAGGATGCTGTCCTCAACTTTTTTATTCTGTATTAAACATTCTAACCTAAGGGAAAGGTTTTTCCAGTAAAAACAAATTCAATCATGCCATAACCTTTCAGAGGCTGTCGGTTTTGGAATACCCAAATTTCTTGGCATGTAAGACGTTTCACTTTTGTATTTCTCCAGCCTTTACTTCTGCCTCACTGAAAACATGTATTTAGCCAGTCATCTCAAACTACCTGCAGCTTGTTCATTTATCTTTTCATGCCTTTTTCATGTGATTTTTTTCCTGGAATGCCTTTCAAGCTGACAGCATTCAGATATCAGCTCAAGAATCCTTCCCACTCTCAAATTTGGTATTTTCATTGTACCATATATGTCTCTATCATATCATAATGTTTAAGGCTTGCTGTAATTGTCTTGTCTGTGGACTCTTTGAGGGGATATTATTTTCCCGTCTCCTACTTAAACAATATTTTGACATAGCTGGTTGGCGTGTGTGTTTAAATTTTTTTTCTATTTAATAATGTTTTTTATTTGTGTTGTAGAATGCCAGAGGACTTGGATCTGAGCTAAAGGACAGTATTCCAGTTACAGAACTTTCAGCAAGTGGACCTTTTGAAAGTCATGATCTTCTTCGGAAGGGGTATATGGGGGAATTATGACTTTGATTTTGTTATAATGTTTCTGTGAATTATTTTTCACAATATTCTTTACCTAACCTTCTTTACATATTTTGATAGGCTATAAATGTATATTTAGTTTGGCAGATGGCAAGTAATATATGTTGCATGGGGTGCAGAGGGGAAGGGGCTTAAATGTTTTCTGTAGTGGAAGAGGTGTCTCATCAGAGGAGTGCAATCCCAACGTAGGGCATCCTCCTAGGCAGTGGTGTCCTTTAGCATGATTTGGTAGGATTCTTCTTATTTATTTATTTGCTACTGATAAGTTAGCCATTTTCCTCCTTGTCTTAACTATTAAAGTAATTTGCTTTTCTTTGGGAGGCACTAGAACTTAGCAGTTGAGAGATTAAACTCTGGACTCAGTCAGCCTGCGTTTGGACGCTGGCTCTGTTATTTACTAGATGTGTGCCTTTGGACAAATCACATAATTAACGTCCCAGTGTCTTTATCTATAAAATAGGGCCAATAATAGTCTATATCTTACTTTGAGGTATAAACGAGTTAATACCTGAAAAATGTTTTAAATAGTACCTGACATTAGAAGCACTCAAAAAGTATGGACTGCAGTTTTTTTTTTTCTGTTCTGACTTTAACATGCAGTTATGCCATGTTGACGATTTCTTTTATGTTTCTGTGTGTTTAGGTCTCAGTTTCTGGTCCTAGACCATTCTCTTTGCAGATTACTTTTCTGCTTAGTAAAATAAAGATAATACCTTTCCCCTATAAACAAATTATTGTTTTGAATTTTTGAATTTTACATCTAATTTTAAAGTATTCTTATGATAATAGAATGGAATTTTAATGCTGAGTATAAATATAATCTCTCATTATAGACTTTCAATTTTGTAGTAAAAAAATGCAGCATTTGGCCTGTGGAATTGGAGCTATAATTTGATTTGTATAACCAAATTAATTGGCTAGGCAGTAACTAAGGTCTGAAGATGTTTTTTTCCCCTCACATGAAATGTTCCTCCTTCTTCCTGATTGGACTGGGGCAGGACAATTTTCAAAACCCACTTCTTGAATAATGTTTTGTAAAAAGACAATATTTAATAAACAATTATTGCAGGGTTTCTAAGGGTTTTTTTTAGCTTTAAAACCCTAGTTTGGAAAATAAAATCATCATCTTTATACAGCTGGAGTGATAAAGACCAGTAGCCTGGTTCTAGTTGTGCCTTACCTAACGTACTTTATACATAATAAGTGTTCAATAAATGCTAAACTTATTGTTCAACGTGTTTATTAAAAAGATATATTAAATAATGAATGTGTTAGACCTGAAGGGAATAGGCTTAGATATTTTATGTAGTGCAAGAAGTACCTCATCAGAGTAATAGCAATAAACATACATTCATTCAATTTCTTCTAGAAAAGATTTTGGCAAGTTTTCCCTAGTGATTGAAGTCTTGACCACCAGCGTCTGTAATAGATACATTCTTAAATTATCATGTAGTACTCTTTTTTGTTTTCCTTTTGGTGTATGAGTCCATGAATTTTTAACACATATATCAATTCCTATAACCGTCATCACAATCAAGGTACAGTAACTGTCACCCCAAAAAACACTCTCATGCCCATTATGGATATGATTTGAGCTGTAGGTATTGAGTGATATTTAATCTCATTTAAATGTTGTTTTTTTTTTTAATTTCCTTTCAGTTTTTCTTGTGTGAAAAATGAACTTTTGCCTAGTCATCCTCTTGAATTATCAGAAAAAAATGTAAGTATGCTATTGTGTCCTTTTTTTTTTATCTTCTCATAGATACATTTTAGTAATATTGGTTTCATTTTATTAAAACAATTTTGGTACTGAGGATTTGACCATGAGGAATATGATGCCTTATTTTCAACCTTCTTGTAGGGTAGACTTACAAATTATACTGCTCCTCTAAAGCTCCCTTTCCATGCATCCTGCCCTGCCTTTTAAATGCACATCTCCAAAGGGTGATCTACTTCTCCATCTTCTCACAAGAATGTTCTTTTCTGATAGTG